TGGTACCAGACAGGTAGCATCATTTGACTCTAAATTTTACTATTGGTCCCTCCTTATACTGGTCATGTTTGTCAGTGATTGCATTTGCTTATCTGACTTTAGAACAATGGGAAACACTAGGGAACACTTGGGACCTTTCTGGCCTCAGTGAAGCTAGCCTCCCTCCACCTCGCTTTCGGAGAGCTAGCTGATAAGGGCTGTGATCCACCTAAAACTTAGCTTTTGGCAGGTTTCCCGGTACCAGATGCTCTGTCTTACAAAGGAAATATATTGTTTTGAGAACACTGGAAATCTCTTCACCACATAACTTCCAGTGTTAGGTGTCCTTATAATTTCCAAATACGCATTCCATTCTATTGCATCCTAATTCCATCCACAGAGACCCCTAATAATACTTCTGCTTAATAAAAGTTCTTATACAGAAAAATACAGTCTACTATAGATTTCTTCCATCTGGGCTAAATATATACTATGATTAAACTCTTATGGATATACTATGATTAAACTCTTATGAAGGCACAGTGACAGCTATCAATATCTGTCAAAGGAGATATCAGAAATCACATTAATTTTTCCCTTGTCCTACACTCTGGAGCCATCATTCCGGAGCTAAGACAAAAATGTGTGAGCCGGAGGCTAAAAAACTGTGAGCTAGCTCACACTAACTCAGCGTAGAGGGAACACCACTGGTGTTTCAAAAGCCAGAGCACCCAGATACTGGGCTTGAAGAGGTGGGGGCACAATTTGGGGGTCTGCCTTCCTTCATCCGTGCACTTCTGGAGAGCACCCGTCCGTCCCTTTTTTTCCAAAAGGGGATGGGAGCAAGGGTGCCTCCCTGCAAAATGTTTTATTGTATGGTTAAATATTGTGTATTTTAATGTATTTATGCTTTTATGGAAGCCGCCCTGAGCCCGCTTGCGGGGAGGGCGGGGTATAAGTTTGATAAATAAATAATAAATAAATAAAATAATTGTAAAAACTCAGGAGAACGCCAGGGTGAAATTAACAAGTGTTCTTAACCCTCTGGTCAGCAATTTGACTCCCATTTTACTCAAGAGGAGACGTGGCAGGCTGGAATCTTGAGCAGAAGCCGAAGGGGGTGGGGGAGTAGTCGCTTCACCCCTTCTCATCTGTCTGTACTTCCTTCTGTGTTTCTGGCTCTCACCCACAGGGATTTCATTCCACAGAGCCCGTCTGGTGTAGTGGTTAGAGTGTTGTTGAACTAGGATCTGGAAGACCCAGGTTCGAATTCCCGCTCTGCAGTGGAAACTCACCAGGTGATCTTGGGCCAGTCACTCCTCAGGAAGGAGAGGCTTAGCCGCCTTGGTACCTCCAGTGGGGCAAAAAGGCAGGCTACACATTTCTCGTCAGGACCTTCAGGCACAGTAGAACTTGCGCCTGAAAGGCTGTTACATGCATGTAGTATGACAAATCATGCTCATAGGACAGTGAGGAGCAAACAGAGAAATCTAAATCAACCATGTCACTTCATCCATGTGCCTCTGCTGGACTGGGGGATTTTCAGCCCAACATTTCAAAGGCTGTGTTCTGAGGATGATATGAAGAGGACTCAGTCATGTCGGACTGTGACTCGGGGATGGGGGGGGCTTTTGTTGGGGTGAGCAGCAGTTGCCCTTGGGGAATAGATGAACCATCCAGACAATCTTGCCTGCTGGCCAGTGCAGCAGTCTGTTTCCTGAGCTGACTTTAAACGTGACGCACATTTATCCCTGACTCCCCCCACCCCTTAAAAATGAAACAGTGGCAGAGGGCTGTGATCTTGAGCACGGGGAACTGGGGTGTGGGGGTGCTTGCAAGGGACTGTTGAACCTGTTTTCCCGCTCTCAGTTGCCTTCGCCTAATCGATGACTGAAGGGTGACATGACCGAGGTTTACAAAATTATGCATGGGATAGAGAAGGTAGAGAAGGAAGTACTTTTCTCCCTTTCTTACAGTACAAGAACTCATGGGCACTCCATGAAATTAATGAGCAGTAGGCTTAGATAAAAGGAAGGACTTCTTCACCCCAAGAGTAATTAACATGTGGGATTCACTGCCGCAGGAAGTGGTGGCAGCTACAAGCATAGACAGCTTCAAGAGGGGATTGAATAGACATACGGAGCAGAGGTCCATCAGTGCCTGGGGCAGGGATGATCTGTATTCTTGGTGCTTGGAGGGCAACAGTAGGAGGTTTTCGGGGTTCTGACCCTCCTGGTGGACCTCCTGATGGCACCTAGGTTTTGACCTCCATGTGACACAGTGTTGGACTGGATGGGCCATTGGCCCAGTGTGGCTTCTCTAATATTCCCTCCTTGCAGATGAAAAAGGTATCCATATCTATTTATTTATTTCATTAACACCACACTTTTCTTCCCAATGGGCACCCAAAGCAGCATATGTTGTTCTCCTCTCCTCCATTTTATCCTCACACAACTATCCTGTGAGGTAGGTTAGGCTGAGAATGACTGGCCCGAGGTCACCTGGTGAACTTCCACCACAGAGTGGGAATCTGTTTTCAGTTGGTCTCCAGACTCCACCTGCCCTGCCAGCCTGTTTGAAGTTTCTGACAATTCCCGCCTAGAGCTGAAGATTTTTTCTAGCCATGATGAATGCACTCCCATCAGCTGCTCTGAGGGACCTCTATATGAAGATCGCATTCCAGGGCAGATATCGTGGATGTGGGCAGAGAGAGCTTGAAACGTTGGATCATATAACCTCGTGTTCCCGTTGGTACGCTCTGTATACAGCAAAATGGCTGGATACAACCCTGAGCAATTTAGTATCTGTTGATAGAACTAAGATTGTACCATTTTATTAAAGGATGAGGATCTGAGGACTACTTTAGCCACGGCAAAAGTGAATACGTGGAAGGAAAAGGTGAACTTTTTAATGATGGGTTATAAAAATTTATAGGGTTAATCTCAAATTTAGAAATAAAGTAGAATTTAAAATATATAGCAGTAGAAAAGGGCAAGAGTCCAGTAGCACTTTAAAGACGTACAAAATCTGTGGCCGGGTATGAGCTTTTGAGAGTCACCGGCAGGGGTCATTTCCTGCAGGAACGCACAGGAGCGGAGCTCCGGCAGTAAAGAGCCCAGGGGGTGGGCACATGCAACAAGCCCCACCCCCTGCTCCCGGCAGCCCTCAGTCAGAGCAAGAAGCAGCCAGGTAAGCTGCAGAGCCCCCCCCCCCCCACAGCTCCCCGGTCCAAAACAGTCCAGTGGCACCTTTAAGACCAAGTTTTATTCAGGTACAAGCTCTCCCTCCTCTGTGAGGACAGATCTGCCCGTCCCCCCCCCCAATAGCTAGCAATCCAAAAGAGTCCAGTGGAGCCTGAGTGCTGGGTGTTGCCTTCTGACACACTTCCAGTGATGTCAGGGGGTGTGGCATATGCAAATAAGTTATGCTAATGCGTTATGCTAATGAGCTCCTGCACCTCTTTTTCTACGGAATGACCCCTGGTCACCGCTCACTTCTTCAGGTACCCTCCAGCTGTGACTCACAAAAGCTCCTCCCCGGCCACAGATTTTGTTCGTCTTTAAGGTGCTCCTGGACTCTTGCCCTTTCTTCTGCTCCGGACAGACTAGCACAGCTACCCATCTTAAAATGTATGCTAATATATTGTAATAATAATAATTTAGTGTGTCCTGACTTGAGACCTTAGGTCCGATGAGTCAACCCTAAAAGGAAAGGAGTGGGGATTCGAACCTGGGTCTCCCAGAACCTAGTTCAACAGTACTCTAATCACTATACCAGACGGGCTTTGTGGGATGAAATGCCTCTGGGTGCGAATGAGGGAGAAACAGAAAAGTATGTACAGACAGATGGGAAAGGGCTAAGCAACTACTCTCTCCCCTATAAGGCTTCTGCTCAAGATTTCAGCCCACCATGTCTCCTCTTGAGTAAAATTGGGGGGGGGGGGAGTTGAAGGAAATGTTATATTTTGAGCCGTTGCATAAACTTTTTGAAATGGAGAGCTGCATCCCTGCCAGCCAGGCACGATCCTTCCTAACCTGGACAAATGGCATTGTGTCTTCATCAAATGACTCGGGGCAGGTTCTTTCGAGTTGTGTGGTTTGCTGGTATAATTGGGCAGAAGATAATTTGACGCGCTAACGAGGTGCAGCAAACCCTTTGTGTTTTCCAGGAGAGCAGTTTGGTGATGATTTCTGAGCTGGCGAGGTGTTTGGCAAAATATGGCAGAATCTGTCCGTTTTTAAGGTTCAGCCCCCAAATGTACAAGGTTTCAAATTGCAGAATCATAGAGTTGGAAGGGACCTCCAGGGTCATCTAGTCCAGCCCCTGGCACAATGCAGGGAATTTACACAGCTGCCTCCCCCCCCCCCC